GCTTTGACTTACATTGTAGTTGTAGTCTGTGTAATGTGTAACACTTTATTCACGTGTTGAGTCTTCCTGTCAAATCTACTTCCGGTATGCTCGTGCCACAACTTTCAAAAGTTTCCTTTACTCGCGTGTTTTTGCTGAACTTTACCAGGTTTCACCAGTTTCTTTAATGGCATTTCGAGTATTTTTCGGTCATCGATAACTTCGTAATAGAATAGTTGTCGCCATAGTTCTATATTCGCCTGCTAGTCGCGTGACGGTTTGCGGTACGTCGTGTCACGTGATAACCGGTTGACTAATAATACGCCGAAATTGAAAAGTAACGGCAAATCTTAAGGTCACGTGATAATTATCTGAGATCGTAGGATAATTTATTACTTTCCCGGCTGTTATATATAATAGAGAGGAAAGTGTGGCGATTGGTCAAAAAATGACCCCTAAGAGTTTTGCATTTTTGGACTTATGACACCTTGAAACGTCGAGAAATAAAAGAAAAAATCGGGAGTAATTTCTGTATGTATGGATGTTAGTGTGTGTGTGTGTGTGTGTGTTGGCATGTATTTCGCTTAATATCTCGGGATAGAATAGAAATTAAGTAACAAAATTTGGCACGGTGTCTTGTATACGAGGGACATCGATGCTACTAAATTTTGGTGGCGAAACGTCGAGAGAGTGGGGAGATAGAGTGGGTCATATATCTCCAGAGGTAGGACTAAAGATTTTATTCGTTATTAACATTTACCTTCTGTTATAAAACTCACCCCTAGCCTCAAAATTCAGCTTTTTGCCATTTTATAGTAATTAAAAATATAAAAGGTTTTTATAACAAAATCTGATAATAGATGGCGCCACACACAATTTTATTTTATTTTTTCTTAATTAAAGGCCTTATTGGGCAATGCGCGGAATGTTAAATCGAGTAAACCTATTGCAACTATGGTCAAGGAAGCGTGTAAAGCCTTCAGTCAAAACATGTGCCTATATCGATAAACGAACACGTGATCGAAAAAGCTGAACAATTTCACAAAAACTCCAGTAACGAGTTGCTTAACTTTCCCGGAAATATTTAAAATTGCGTGTATGGCGCCATCTATTATGATATTTTATTGTAAAATCGTTTTATATTTTTAATTATTATAAATTAGCAAAAAGCTTAAATTTTGAGGATAGGGATAGGATTTTTAAACGATAATAACGAGTAAAATCTTTATTAAATCCATCCCGCTCTATATACGAGTGTATATATATATCGGTAATATATATTAATTACACGCATTATATATAACAGACGGGAAAGTATACTTGAAAGGAAAAAAAAAATAGTAAGGTTGCAATATCGGCGATGGAGAGGAAAAAAGAACTTATGACGTCATACAAATACTATACACGTGCAGGCCACTTTTAATAAATATTTATCGGAAATGCCTACAGCGCCAATTAGAGTAGCGGCCGTCGAGCGAACTTCTGTGGTAATAACTTTTCGCGGAAAAACTCGACCTGGCTGGAGGCCGAATCAACAATAAGTTCTGTTACTCGACACATGTTATCGTTTACTGATTTTCTGCAGGAAAAATAGAAATTCGAAAGAATAATCGCGTTATGGCGGCGGCAGCTGCTCTTCGAGCCGCCAAAGATGCCGTCAGAAGCGAACTGAAGAAGAAATTGTCCAGTCTGAGCCTAGAAGAGAGAACCAAACAGTCGAAAATCGTTGCGGAACAGGTAAATTAATCGGTTTTCTATGTTTAGATATTATGTAAAACAAGTCATACGACATTTTTTTCTCTATAACGGTTCTGTACCGTTATAGAGAAGGAAATGTAATCACGTGTAATTAACACATTTGCATTGTGTTAATTACACGTGATGTCTGCCCCAATACTGATATAATTAAATGGTAAATTTTTTGTTAGAAGTGACTATTAGGTCGTTTATATATATATGAACGTAGTCACTGATTCCTAAAGTCACTTCTGCTAATTTTTTATATAAGAGATTTACCAGACAACTATTATTCTTTTGATTCTGTGATGTAACACAAAAAATATGAAGGTCATGAAAGGACAAGAAAATTAGTCTGGTTAGTGTCTTACTAAATGCGTGATTAATTACTGTTTAATTTTCCTACGAAAGAAGTCTCGCCTCTCGACGGTTCTAATGGATCGTGCGTTATCGACGGGCGATGCCCCCCGTCTTTCTCCGGACGCTCCGGGGACCGTCGGCAGAAAGTGGAATCCCAAATTGTTTTTGTGATCGTGTTCCGAAAGACGATACGAATAAAACTGAGATTTTTAAACGAATGACGTAATACGGAGCTTTCGATTACCTCGACTAATTATCCCTGCGGATGTTGCGTAAGATCGAAGCCGTAGGTTAAATCTGATGTGCAAAAATTTCTGTCGCAACAAAAAGTTTTAACCGATAAATAATAATTTATTTATCTTAGAGTGTAAAGAAGTTGTCGTGCTTTATTTAGGATTTCGAGGCATCGGTTTCTTCCTCTTCTGAAATTTATTTAAATAAAATTTAGGGATGTTTTACCCATTGTTCTAACATAAAAATTTAAGGGATAATTAATGTTTACAATTGTCGGCAAATTCATATGTAGATTGCAATTTTGAATTGTGAATTTTTTATTCCCCGTCTCATTATGAAAGAAAGATATTTTACTGTTTGAAAAATTAATATTGCGAAAATATTCAAAGAAGCAAATATTAAATAATCATTGTTAGAATGCATATTTACTTGAAAAATTTGAAAATCTAATTACATTATTATTATTACTACTACTGCAACTACAGAGTATATTATATTATATAGAATATAATATAATCTAGCATCTACAATTTTGTTGATGGTGGTAGACGTAAGATTATTTTTTTGATAAATTTTTGGCATATAAATTTTAAAAAAGCTAATTTACTTGCATTCTTACACTTTGTTTAATTTTAAAAGTATTGAACTTCAGACATTTTATTTTCTAATAACTGTTTATTTTTCTAGTTTCAGTTACATTATGACTTCTGTGTTAAATATTTTGTTATTATAAAAGTAAAATTAAATCATTTTTACCATTTTTATCATGAAATGAGAATAATTTATAACTTCATTATCAAATAATTATTATCTGTATTTTTAACATAAAATATCATAAAGGATAATGCCAAAATTTTAAACGTATTGGTTAAACTATAAGGTACTTTAGTAATTTTGTCTGTAAGGAATACACCTCACTCAATGATTAGGTTTTCAATTTGGAGTTCTTTGCAACTTCTATCACTTCCCAATAATTTCATATTCTGAACTTCAGTTTCATTAGAGAAAAGGATTTTGGATCACAGTCTCCACAGAAGAAGTTTGTCTTATTTGCCACTGCATCTTGAAAATATAGCATATTTTTATAGCTGACATAGAAAGAAATAAATACAGTAGAGTCTCAAAAACTCAGCACTTGATAACCCAGCACTCCGTATAACTCGGCCACACCCTGGCAGGGCAAAAAAATCCTTAGTTAATTAATTTTCATTATAGACAGCTTTATGCCTCATAAAGTATTTTTCTGAGATCTGTCTTATCAGGTAAATTACTGTGCACAGTGTATTCATTAATTTTCATTTTCATGTAGTAAAGGCTCTATGCCTTTATAAAGGATGCACTTTTCCTTTGTTTAAGGGTATTTGAGCAGTTTATTCTCTGTTGTATTCTCAAGTAAACAATACATACAAGTACAGTACAGTATTTTCTGAGGAAACACTCATACTTATTTTTTTTAACCCCATTCCTGATAACCTGGCATTTTCACAAACTTGGCCACCCTTCGGCCCACATTAGGCCGAATTTTCGAGACTCTTCTGTAATTGAAAAGTGAAGACAGAAAAGAAAAAAATCTTTCGGAACTGTCAATATTTAAAAATGCTTGACATTCTGACAAAATAATAATAAATGATTAGTGGATATCAAGTTTTCTATTTTAATTTTAATAATATACAATAATAAATATACGTTCTCAGAATCTTAATATTTATCAATACTACTTAATTGTCAATTTTTCAGCAACATTTAATCTAACAAAATAAATTCTGAAACTGTTTTATTAAATTAATTTTTAGTTGATGAATGAAAAGCCATTTATTAAATGGATGAGTACATATTTCAAGCTACTGCAAGATAAATTTGTTTACAGTTGTTTAATGTTGAATCATTACTTAATAAATCAATTGTTTGATATGACAGGATTCATTTGATGTTTTATAATTACAGAATGAAATTTTTAAATTTTTACTGTTAATCTGAACTTTTTGTTTTTATCCAAATTTTGAAATATTTAAGTAGCACAGCATTTAAGTTTCAAAAATGCAAATGAGCATTAAAAGCATTTATAAAAGGTGATATTTAGATCTATGATTCTGAGTCATGAGATGTAATTTAATTGACAATGTAATTGTACAATTTTTAACTGGTTTAATTCCATTTTGAATGGTTTAAATATTATAAAATGTTTTTGTTTAAACATATTATTGTACAAAGAATTTGTTACTGAATCAGTTGCTGTAAATTCATTTTTTTCAAGAAAACACTTCAAATAAATTATATATGTGTATTTTTTAGGACTGGGATCAACCTGAATACATACCAGATCCAGATGCCACAAAACCTGAAGATTGGGATGATGAAATGGATGGTGAATGGGAACCACCACAAATAAATAATCCCGAATATAAAGGAGAATGGAAACCTAAACAAATTGATAATCCTAATTACAAAGGACCATGGATTCATCCAGAAATTGATAATCCAGAATATGTACCTGATCCATTTATCTACAGGTATACTGATATTGGAGCATTTGGTTTTGATCTATGGCAGGTAAAGTCTTATTTTAAAATTTAAAATTAATTCTGATGTAGCTATTATAATTTAATAATTAAAATTTATTTCTGTTCAGGTTAAATCTGGTACAATATTTGATAACATATTAATTACGGATGATGAAGATTTTGCTCAGAAAGTAGGAGAAGAAACATGGGGCTCTACAAAAGTAATTTTCTTAAACTTTTAAATTAGTTATGCCCAAAGTACACAAATTAGTAAAATGTTCAGTTAGAAACTTTTTATACTGTATATTATGTGGTACATCGATAAGTCATAATCTTAACTTACAAAACTATAGAATGTATTAAGTATACATATACAGTCAACCCCCTGTAACGCGATTGATATATTCCACTTTATAAGAATTTTGTGTTGTAGGAATCCTTAAATACATGAGCCAATCACAGCCCGGCACATATGCAGTTTAAGGACTATGGCTGTTTGAAACGTTTTCTTCCATAAAATTAATCGATTCTAGACTAATTTGACTCAACATTTCCAAAACACGTATAATATTTTGGGAATAATCTGTATAAACTATGCTATAAACAAAAAATTGTAGGATTACTTACTGAGTGTGCACTGTTTGACGATGCCATTGCTTATTTTCATGCTTGTTTTCATGGCAGGCGCGTTTTCTGATCAACGAATTTTTCACAGAAAAATAACTTAACTTTGGAGACATCATTAATAGAAATCATTTTTATGGCCGTTGAATAAGAAATGTATAAAATTACAGTACTGTATTAGACTTACAGTACCTAATTTATATACTGTACAGACGACAGTAAACTCAACTTACCCGCCTAAACTCTCTGTAGCGTGTAAGTAGTTCGGCTGCTCGTCCACTATTGGTCCAGATTCAACCAATCCTGTCATGACATGAGTCGGCAATGACGTTTTACTGCATTTTACGAGTCTCTTTTAGTGTCTTTATACGAATACGGTTGCAATTTTTCGCCGCGATATACGAATCTGCATTATATGAACTCGCGTTATGAGGGTCGACTGTATNACTGCTCATGATCACGACCATATTGAACTCTAGGGGGGTATTATTCATTTAAATAGTTCTTACATCAAAAATCCTTATTCTATTCGGAGGAATAGGATGTCATTTTACATTAAAGCCAACATTTTGTTTGTGACGTCTTTTGTCTATGCACAACTCTTGTACAGATGTCTTATTGTGAGTTTGTGTAATGGGAATCATTTGATTTTGTAGGGGAATATTGTCAAAACATTGAAATAAAATATTTCACTTGGAATAAATAGTCTGATTTTGTGTTGCACAGTAACAGAGAATAAAGTAAAATGCTCGGTTCTATGAGTAGGTAATTTTGGTAGCTAACTTTGTATACATAATTACTGCTTAATAAGATCAATTTATCTGCTACCAAAAATATATATATACAGAATTAACATGCATGGTGCTCTTGCATAATGTAAATGTAATTACAAGAAAATTGATGCACCGATTGCAGCTAAATTTTACTTCAAATAAATAACTTTTTCTTGTCATCTGCAGTATCTCCATTGCACACTAGCCAATTATCCTTCATCGTTCTGTCCGGATCTGTCTCGCTCCAATATCCAGGACCCATCTGTCTATTGTCTCTTGTGCAATATATCTAGCCCGGGACCAATTCCGGTGTTTTTTTACGTTAATTTAATCTACTGCTTTCTGATCTTATCCATTCCTTTTATGCCAGTCATTCTCAGCAGAGTGCACCCCATCTTCCTCCAAGTAATTGGCAATCCATCGATCATAGGCTCTTCTGGCATCCACATTTCACTTCCATACTTTGTGAGTAAGTATATCTTTCATTTCACCAAAGCAAGATCTTCAATGTCATTCCTAAAAGCATGTCTTATTTTGGAAAAGGTAGCCCACATTAGCCGTTCATGATGGCCTAGCTATGAAAACGTGTCAGTCATCCTCATAATTTGGTAGCAAGTGTGTCAAACATTATCTTTGACTCATATCTCAATTGGTACCACAAAATTCATTAATCATCCATTGTAGTTCAGAGTGCTTACGGGCAATAAGTATGGCACGTCGTCATCTCCAAACCGCTCGCCCATTCGGTATTGTTTACCTCTACGCAGGTCCAATATACACTTTTCGAAAACGATCATAAGCTTCCGCAGGGCGACTTCCCTTCGTCCCACGTCTCCGTTTCAGAAAAGGGTACTTTCTAGGTTCAACTTAACTGCGGAAGACACATTCTCGTATACATATGAGATTTTATGGCACAAAGTTAACTATGCTAACATATCTCCAATGCCTTTTTAAAATTGATAAAAGCTAGAGTGAAAAACATGGATATCGAAAATCAATCAACTGGCCATGTGTTAGGATCTGTTGAGTATCAGTTTCTAAACCCAGGCCATTCTGTAGATAGGATCACAACAACCAATTTGTATTAAATACAAGAATCATCAATAAAAGTTTGACATCTAAATAATACATAGGCCAGACAATACTGTATTCATCCTACTTTTTTAGTTTCAAATCCAGCAGCAGTATTGTTTCAATGCAACCTTCCCCATAGCTAGATTTATGGTCACATTTACCCCCCCGACAAAAATTATGGAATCGTATTTAAAACAATGCCGGCTGTATTGTTCGGTATGCAAATAGCTTGAATAAAAAGTGAAAATACCTGTAACCATCCAAATGACACACGAAAACTAGCACACACCTTCAAAACAAGATTACAATGGATGGAGTGATGAGTCACGAATTTGTATCGGTCGTGGAGACGACGCTCGAACTTTTGTCTGGCTCCATAACGAAGCTTATCAGGACGACTATGTTAAAGAAAACGGGAAATTTTGTCATTATTTGGGGTTGGTTGTCAGATATTAGGACCGGGTAGGCTGGCCATTATTACGTCATTAGTTGACGTTGGAATAAGGAGGCTCTAAGTGTTTGATATCGACTCGATAGAAATGTAACACGTGGAAATTCCTCCATCCACTGCTTTCATTACAGAAAACAAGTCAAGCTTGCAACAATTAAGCAGTGTGTCATACGGGTTCGAAATCTAGACTTAAAATATATTTTCCACTTAGCATTCCATTTATACACAAACGCCAAAATTGAATAATAATTATTTTATAATCGAAGACGTTTTGAAATGTCAAGTGAATATACTTGTATCAGTTTGACATTTTCGAATTATCAATCCGCGTAAAGGTCAAAATCTTACTGTTCCAAAAATACACCGACTTTTTTCCTGCATAAAAATACGTCCCGAATTCGACAGTTCGCCATTATCCAATGACGTAACGAGTTTTTCGGCCCTCTGTGGGAAAGTTTAAACAATAGAAACGGTTATTGTAATTTTAAATATTTTAGGATCCCGTTACGTCACTAGCATTATCCGTAACGACTCATTTAATTCGTGAAAGGTCAGAAGTTGGCGCGAATGATTCATTGATTCCCGTAACGATTGCGGCAAAAGAACGAGTCGCCATTTTAGTAAATAGGTCAAATCACTTTAGAGAAACACGTAAAAATCCCTTCCCGTTATTTAACAATTGAAATATACAAAAGAACGGAACACATGATCACCAGCAAAATATGAATTTAATCCACTCAAAAAATTTTTTTTTCACATCATAAACATTGCATAGCATCCCATTTGCACGTTTATATTTTAATCACTCGTTACACTTTCACAACAATTTCAATTATTATGTTTTTTTTCAAGGGGAGACAATAAATCTATACGTTTTCACTGGGAAATCGAAAATACGACAATGATTTTAAAAAAACAAACAATAATATATATATATAATATGTATATATAGATGAACAATCTAGTAAACTATAGGGTCACGTACATACTTTTTCCAGTAGGATTCTGAAAACGAAGGATTTTCGCGTAGTGACTCAAAGGACTTAGATGCTAACTGCTATATACTGTCGTGGTTTTACTGTATTGTTCTACGTCACGATTATACAAAAGAAAGGAAATGCCGGGCAATTAACACGAGCGAGCATACCTATCGGGTCTTTGGTACGATTAATAATACGAGCGAGCATACTGATCTGGTCTGCTTTTAAAACTAGTAAATCCTGTATCAAATAATTCTGATTGGTGTCTTGATATGATATAGAAGATGGATCGAGAAACTTTGAATTGTTCTGTAATTCGTAAAGTGCATACTTACACTTAAACACGCACACGTACACACAATGGATTAACAGTACCGAGATACTGTAGATTATAATAATACCTATGTGGCAATATACTGAAAAAAGTGAAGTGGACTACACGCCGTCGGTGTAGCAAAAAAGAAAGTTTCCCTGCGTCTTTCCGAAATAACTGACGCGACTTGCCTCTATGGAGAATTTAAATAACCTGAGACTCACGTCCGTCCGTGTGCCAGACTGTATTCCCTACCCATAAGTTGTGACAACGTAACTAACAGTCTGCACGTAACGTCCGATGATTGTTGTTAGGTAGCGAATCTAGTGTTTAACTTTGGTACCGGTCTCCTTTGTCACCCGTTGAGTAACCGATATATAAATATATGAATTTTTCTATCGCAAACAAACCGTTTTGCTGCTTTCCCAATGCAGCAAGGTACGAGAATACACTTCTTTAACAATCCAACTACCGATAACCAAAGAACAAAAAAAAATTTTCTAAATTTTTGTTAGGACAACATCTTTGTTAAATCCATGTCCAAGTGGGTAGAGCAAATTGCCTCTTATCCATTACAGATAAAACTGGGCAATGACACACACTCATACTGGGTGTTTTAGAGCTTTGCACGTGACACTGCAAATTGGAATACTGCTTTTACAATTATTTCCCGCCATATCAGGCTACCGCCGCTTCCGAACTCAGTTTGGCTAGTTCGCTGCTGCTCTCTACGGTTCCGCTGACCTCTGTGGACTGTATCCTCGTGCTGGCGATGCTCTTCCTGGAATTTTCATATTCGGTCTGTTTCGGGTGCAAACTGTAGTGTTCGGAATGTCCACCGACCCGATTGGAATAATAGGGACTACATTTTACTTCCCTTCTGGCCTTTCGTCGCTGGCGACGTTCCTCCAGCATCAGTTGCAATTGCTCCACTTTACCTCTCGTCACCTTGTTTTCGTCCTCTCTCTGACAGTCTACTGAAAATACATGAAATATTTTAGCGATTGTTGGATTTTCTGCTAGGAAGTTATGTCACAGAAAACTCACCTTCCATATTATTAACAGACGACGATTTGGCACACGACATTGACCAGTTGTGTGTGGACTGACTGTGTCCGTTCATACACTGACAGCATCCGGAAGATGCTCCCAATAGGTCGTTAAGGATGTGAATTATGGTCCCAATATCTCTTCTTGGGCGTCCATTGCTATCTTGGAGTGCGGGACTGAGAGTTCCTACAAAAGTGTAAATTGTCAGTGTCAAAAATAATCAAGAATTATGTGATGGTAAAGCATCCTTAATCAACACTATCTAGAGAGAGAGAGAGAGAGAGAGAGAGATTTAGCAATTCAAATGCAACCAAATTAATTTTGGGAAAGGTGATAGACATTAATATAAAACAATTTATGCCAAAACTCACCAATGTGGTACTTTTGACATTACAATCAATGTAAAAATTATAAGCATGCCTGTTGTAGCCATGCTCTAGGTATTCATTCTTACCAGCAATGGCTGTTCTCTTACCAGAACCCAAAATTTTGTATTTGAAAGAATTTATGCCAAGGACCGATTCTGCAAGCTCTTGGAAGAATGATCAAATGAACTTTTGAGAAAACTGGACATCTGGGAGCTATCACTTCATGAGTTACTGAAGATCTTACAACTACAAACAGTCGAAAACAATGTTAGAGGATCCAATAGTGCACTTGCAGTGTCAGGGCATGAAAGGTACTAAGAAATTTGGTGTGTTGTTATCTGTATAGGATCAGCTATAATTAGTAGTTGCTTTTTGATGGCAGGAATAACCACAATCTATGGAAGTGAATATACCTTATCCAAGGAAAACCCCATGGAACAATAAGATTACTTTTCACCAAGGTGAAAAATTAACACCCATGACTATCACCTTAGGGCCATGGAAGTTACTAATGTTTTTCAGTAGATTCCACTTCATTCCTTGACTAAAGTGAGTCTGGTACAGATTCAGCCCATGTTTATCCTTGAACCATTCTTCTTTGAAGAAGCTAGTCCTAATCAATCTGTGACATGTTCTGTGATACCAAGAAGAGATCAGAAATACTCCAACTGCAACAGCAACAATGTCTTTAGTCAAATTAGTTTCGTGCAAGATGAAGTACCTCCACATATCAAATGCAGTGTATAGCAGTTTGTGACATTTCACTAATTAGTTGTGCATTTCCTACCACCCGGCTCCCTCATTCTCTAGATCTTAATCTGTGAGATTTTTGGTTAGGGAGACACTTAAATTGAAAACATGTTGCAAATTTGGCAACTTTGAAAGACAATACCACACACTGCATGTGAGAATCATCAACTGTGGTCGGTTGTTGAATGCACTGGCACCTTTAGGTTTTACACCTTCAGGATGAATACCACATTGAGCAGTATCCCCTTCACCACTAAAGGTCTGTATATGGCACAAGTGTTGTTCAAACGTTTGTTGCTTGCAGTGCCAAAACTTGCCACTGTGGCGAGTTTTGGCACTAAAAAAGTATTTTTACAGATACCTGTTTTACATGTCCCAAAATGTTATCATACCAGATATGGTTGCATTTAGACTACTAAATCTTTCTCCATACAACATTGAATAGGGGTATTTTCAAACTAGAATCCCTGTCACATAGCCAAATGATCTCCATACAGAACCATACGACCAACTTTATTTTTTCATTGTCATTAATTGTTATGCTGATAATGTTTTTCTGTAATTTAAATTAAAAACTTACCAGAAAATGTTCCAGAGTACACTCCTCTCCCATGATGATACATGCTTTCAATAACGGCACCACTCTGACGAGTTTTGCAGCAATGACCCTGTGAAAAATAAAACTTCATTGTTTTATGGTGCATTATATAATTAAATCCTCAGTGGAAAAATGAAACAAAAATCACACTAAGCTTGAATATTAAATTAAGAACGGTTTGGACTATACAGAATTGTTCCTCGTGTACGAGGAAAGTACAGTAAGGCTCACCTCGCACTTTTCCTCTTTTCTCTTTCCCAATGCTGCCGTGGATAACTGACGCAATGTTTGAGTCAAATTCCGACTAGCTTCGACAAGAGCCTTAGTGTCCAGGGCGGGTTTGTAGTTTTGAGAGCGGGCAATTTCAGACAGCGAGTCGAGGCGGGCTTCATTTTTGTCGTCCGATCCCGGCGACGGAGGAGGGGAGAGAGGCACGGAGTTGTGGCTTATGGAAGAGGTCGAATATTGGGGCAGAGGAAACGAGAGTGGAGATGCCGAAGAGCCCGGCGACGTCGGAGTGAGGGGCGGAGTGGGCAGGCACGTGGAACGTGCCTGGACGTTCGAATTTTGGGAAGGTCTGTTGCCCGCACTGGCAGCCGTGGACAATTGTAGCTGGATGAACATCATGTGATCGCCTAGCCTCATCGTCAGGTTGAGCGGGGCTCGCCCGGCAAGAAAATTATCCACCTGCAAAAAAAAATTGGTTTTAAATTTTAATTTGTTAAATGAATTAGTAAAATTCTTTTTTACTAGTTTTATTCATAAAAAGAGTAACTGGCAAAACTGTTTTAAATTTAAAAAATTTTGAGAAGTGTTATCAATTTTTAAATTAATAAAATAATTGATATCATTTAGATTTACTCAAGTTATTCATGCAAATATAATCACAATTCTTTCAAATTGATAAACAATAAAATTATATCTAATTAATTTCCATTTTGATCATAATTATCAAGTACAAATTAATGTTGCTAATTAACATATTTGTCTAATAATGCACATAAGGATGATTAAGGGAATTTTCATGCATAATAGTAACATTTTATGTAAAAATTGAAAGAATAAAAAAAAATTTAATTAAATTTTCATTAAAATTAGAATTATAATCATTTATTGTACAATTAATCAAGTTAATTTTCTAAATATTAATGACGAGGCTAACAGAATAATTTTTTCCCCACCTTCCGCCTCTAATTGCATCCTGTACAGAGATAAGTTTCGATTAAAAATTTGAATAATTTGCTCCTTTAAGGCATTGTGATTCTTATCCAGCATGTTAAATAAGTTCTTCCTTTTGAAATTAATCATTGAATGTTAAATTATCTCAATTATCGCTTAGACTGCAGGTAAACATTGCCTTGTTGCTATTCATAAATATAAAAAAATAAGTATCTGTAAAGAAACTGATTTGCATGAGGTAACAACATATTGTAGGCTATACGGATGACCTCAGATATGCCCATTGTGATGGGTCCAACCAGCAATATAGGTCCCGATCTCACTATCCACAATTGATTACAATAGTCTGGATTAGATTTGAATACAGATCAAAACCATAAGTTATCACCGATCACAGAATTCCATCATCTAAGGATCTAGGCTCAATCTGAGATCCTCCAACTAAATTCAAATGCAGATCCTTCAAGATGGTAAGCTAGCATCTTACTATGTGCCCCCATGGCTGAAAATTTGTAAAGAAAATTTAGTTTTCATACTCCCAACAATAAAATAAATTGAAACATCATCAAGAAGCTAAGAAACTTCAGGTTTTTAATAACTTTACACCTTCCAAAAGGTCATCTTTTGCAATTAATTACTATGAAATTACATACGATTCATTAATAAAATGAAAATTTTAAACTATTTTTGATATATGTGAATTGGTGATAAAATTCTAAACAACTGCCCCAAGCTTAAAATAATAATTGGAAATAAAACAATAGTTTTAAACTATAAAAAGGAAATGTTAAAATAGTCCAACAAAGATAACATAGGCCCCGAATCAATCACTAATACGAGACTCATTTCTCTCCAAAGGCTATAAATGTGCAGAACTGTTGGCTGGTATTATAAATTCTGTTGAAGGGCGCTATACCGCACCCTATCAATTATAGAAACCAGGGCCATAATAATGAATGCGCACATTTATTTCTTACAAGCCTCATCTTGTGGTTCATTCCTATTAATTGTTCTATACCTGTATCTATAATGCCTCTGAGGAAATTGGGCATGATCTCAAAAGATGCCTAACATGTATGAGTTATGCCAATACATGAAATAAACAGATTTTTTTACAATTTAGCAACAAAATTTCAATTTATGTCAAGTTATTTTTAAGCCTGCCGAATCATCCTGCCATCCCCTTTATGTGCCATTTATAATTAAGTTTTATAAGAATTTATGTGAAAAGTAAATAGATTAAAAAGATATTTCAAATTAACTTTAAAAAGAAAAACTCAAAAGAAATTTTACTTAAAAGGATCATTAAACTTATCTTCTTCAACTCTCACACTCATAATTAAGAATAGAATGGTTAACACACTTAAGCACTATTGATTTTTACACAAGAACCTCGGAAGAAGCCAAAAAAGAGAGAAAAGAACGATTTTTTGGGGGGAATTAGCTATTAAAAAAAAATAAACTAAATGTATTAAGTTAATTGTTGACTTCTTGTTGATAATATTTAAACGAAGCCCATTTCTAAACAATTAAATTACTTTTAGGAGAGGGGAAAAAAATTCTCATCGCTTTACTATTATTTCTTTTAAAATTCTACTAAAGTAAACCTTCCCGAAAAAAACTTGAGTAATTTCAAGCTAATCAATAAGAGTACCACGCCTCCAATTCGGAAAGTGTTTTGGGGTAGAGAAAGTTTGACGTCACTACAAGGTTTTCATGGCAACCAACATTTACGTGCGTAATTCCAACCCCAGAATCGATATGGCAAAGCTCGTCTTTAAATTCCTACTGAATTAATAAAACAAGAGGAAAAATCTCCGAATCTGTAACTTGAAGAACCAAGCAGAAGGAGGAGGAGGAGGAGGGAGGATAGATTAAAAAAAAAAAAAACATAATAGTAGTGACGTTCCCCCTCTTCCAGGAGGGGCGAAATTTAAATAAATTAAATCTTGGCTTTTCCTTAAATTCCAGCTACTAACCACGCTCTCGGTTACGCAATTAAAACTAATTCTCTTCAATGAAAACACATTAATCTCCATTTCTTTAAAAAAAATAAAAATAAAAAACAAATTTTAAAGCGGAAGGATACATAATCCATAAACGTTCACGGTTACAAACGGAGGATTAAAGTATCTCATCTAGAGGACATTTCCTTGTTTGGATAACATGTAACAAGACAACGTTTGTGTTTGATATACGATAGGTCTGATGTAGAGTGAATGATCTTTACGAAAAATGAGAATCTTCCACCCCCTTTCAGACATTTTCAAGGTCGTCTTTCTTCTTTCCTCCTTCCACTTTTCTTTTAAATATTTAAAAAACTTTTCTAGGTCGGTGTGTGTGTAAAAAAAAAGAAAGAAAAGAGGAAGGAAAAGCCTTACCTGTACGTCTGTCAAGCCTTCTAGAGCCTGTCTGACTGAGTGTTCGGGTCTTTGAGCCTTAAAAACAAAAAGAAAACAGTAATTTTTAGTGTTTTGAACGCACGTAATCGTCGTAAATTACAAAAAAAAATCTTTACGTCATAAATCTCGACACCTACACGAAGTGGCATTATCCATTAATGATTTCGTGGTTTACTTCGATTTTTTAATGCTAATTTACGATTGTGTAACGATAAGAAGCGAAGGTGGAAAAAAAACTTCCCTTCCTTTAGTGTCTTTTAAATTAAATTTTTCTGAATTTTTTAAAAAATTCACAAAAATACGTTGATTTCTTTTACATTTTTGTGATTTCGTCTCGCTGTAAAGGGCTTAAAACACGCCGCAAAGTAATATTCTCAGTCCGAGTCGCGATCGAAACTATGAAGTTCGTCCGTATTGCTGTCCGCCTTAACGTTGAAAAAACCGAACGTTTTTGGTTTCTTCGTAAAATATTAAGCTTCGGCCACCTTTCCACCGAAATTCTTAGAGATTACGGTTAAATTCGCGAAGAAAATCAAAGAAAACCTCACTCGGATCACTTACCAGCAATCCAGTCTCCACGCTGGGTAATAATGTGATTTTAGCACCGTCGGTAACGTGATTTTCCAGTAGTGTGCCTTCAGTCAGTTGTCTGCGGATGGTAAAAAAAATATAAAAAATTAAATTTTTCAGCGATTTCGCAAAGGAAATTAAAACAAAAACTTAATTATTCACTCGAAATTAACGCCGTTGTTAGCAATGCACCATTTTATGTATGTATGTATATATATATATATTTCTTCCGCGCCAAAACACTCGAGGAACCGCTACCCCTCCGTGGGGCCATTTTGGACCCGTCCCGTTACCACGGCAACGGAGGGACCCGATACACGCAGGGAGGAAGAAAATATGGGTCAATCCGAAACGTTTTTCTTCCTATTTTATACCTTCTTTGTGACGAATTAATCGCGCTCGAACGGAGAAATTAGTTCGTAATGGCCTTACGAAACGCCATGCTTTTTTTTTTTATTTTCTTTTCTCCGTAGCGAAAAAATATTTTTCGATCTTGAAATTTGGTTTTTGTGTTAGAAAATCAATGACGCAAGATTCTCTCCTTCTAACGTCAACAAAACAATCTGGTGAATCGACACAGAAGCGAACTGTAGCCACCCACGCCCGAAAGTGTGTTGTCGTTGCTCGGGTCGTTTGCGTCACCCAATGACGTCAGCCGTGGCCCTGGCAGACGTGTAGGTGGAAGAAGGGGATCGGGCGCCGATTCTCCCCCGTTTCCCCCCGAATCGTCTCTCTCGCCCTCTACCGGAAATCCCACTAGAAGATGCAAATTTTTTTTTTTAAACACGGTAAACAATCGTAGCGGGCGTTCGAATTTAAAAATCTTATTTTAAACTAATAAACAACGGGAGCATTTTATTCCCGATCGAAACCAGATTTTTCTAAGAATATTATTTTTAAAAAATAATAAAAAAAAAACAATGATTCGTACAGAGCTAGAGCGAAATTAGCTACATTGGCAGTTGGGCGACGCTGACGTCATTCCGACGCGATTAACGTCAGTGGTGACGTCAGCGAAGGTAGCTTTGACAGGAAAAGGCCAAAGGCTACGGCTGGCGGTGGCGGTCGATACGACGCGAAAGGTGACCTTCCGACGCCGCAACACAGTAAAATCGGCTCCGGTTCACAAACCCCCCTCCCGAACAACCGGAATTTCGTCGGAAACCGGCCGAATAATCGAGTGGAGGAGAAAAAAACCCAGCGATACACCCGATAACTTCCGCTGCGGTAAGACTAAACTTATCAGCTCGGCGACAAACGAAAAAAAAATTTAAATAAATAAATAAATAAAATATGCGTAACCGTGACCGTTTCCTGTTTGGTTCAATCACCTAAGAGACGATCATCCGCGTAGAATTTTTACGAATTACGCGAGTATTTGCGCGTTGGGGAGGGAGATCAACACGTTAATAAATCGATACCCCAGCAAAATATGCAGCTCGTTTCGAAGAGCGGCTGTTGTCAATTGACGTCACACGTCGTTCGAGAGGGGGGGAGAGACAGAGATTGACAAATCGACACACAAGCCGCTGGCGTAGCTGGGTCTTTTTTTTTTGTGTGAGAAAAACAAAATCCCCCTGCTTTTAAAGGGCATAAGCTAGACACGCGACGAAACTTTCTTAGCGCTTTGCACCACCCTAAAAATAGTTTAGGAAGGCACAACAATGATCGAACGGGGAGTGTCAAAACGGGAGGGTTTTGCCTAGTTTTTTTTTTTTTAATGTCAAGGACGAGGAACGGAGGGGAGAAAAAACTGCAACAAGAGAGCGATTAAGGTGAGTATGGCGTGCCAACCTACAAATTTGCATATTTTCTGGAAAGAAAAGAAGAAAATGTCATCCTGGAGTAACACCCGAGAGAACAAAACGATGCTGTGCGGCGCGTGCGCACTACGGTTTTCATCAAACGATCCCCCCATCTGGATCGGATAATCTGTATGTGTAGCATTATCTAATCTTTATAGCAAAGGGCGGCACTTAGACTGAATTTTTTTTTCCTTCCCCACGTCTCTCGAACGTTTCTCACACCAGCAGACAATGACTTTACATTCTAATGCATTCTTCTGTCCGCCCTCGGTTCAGGAAATCACCCCACTTCCTCTCTGACGGTCTAGGAAACAGGAAGGACAATGATAGTCGGTCTCCTGTTTGCTAGGCGTAGGTGGATCTTTAGAAGGTATTCAATTTTTAACACACTTTGCACTCCTTTTTTTTCTATCCCTTTCTACAAACGGGTTTTGTTTCGACCCCGTATTAACGAGAACAATTAAAAAACGAAAAGAAGGGTGTTTCGAGGTGACGAAAGAAAATAAATGCGCGAATGCGATACGTGGCGCGTATAAACGATATACAGAAATCGTGATACGTGTAGCACAGCGGCTAAACTTCCAAACGAAACTGATACACCTGCACCACCTACGCGCAGTGGGCGTCGGGCGATGAAGAATGTCGTTCCTTTCTGCAGACAACGGGACCCCTACATGCCACAGCCGTGGGGTTTCGCAGAAAACATCGTTTGCCCTTCGCAGCCCACACATCACTACGCTCCCGCTGCGCTTTGCACAAACTGCTCGAGGTTGTAGAGAGAAAAACGACCTTCCCCCATTTTGCAGAACGTGCCTTTTTACGCGGTCTTCTTCTGCACGGTGCACCCTCCCCCCCAATCCGCTTCCACTAAGATGACATCATTCGATACGAGTCGTCCGCGCTTGCAGGGGAATCTGGGAAGACGGCGCGCGGGGGGTAGCTAATCCGTTAAGGGTATCTTAAATCGATTTTCGGGATAGTGCAACCTCTGCACAATATGACGCGTGGCTAAAGACGAGAAGTATTTCTTTTTTAATCCCTTCCTCTGTTATAAAAAATATACAATTAATGCTGCACCGCTTTTGTAATGTTCAACTTTCAAGAAAAAGGAGGAGGATGGATGCTCGAAAGCACTCGAAGCAAGTTCGAAAAAAAAACAGGGCATAACGAGTGTAGAGAGACTAGGAAATAACCTAGAAAAGAAGACAGTCCTTGGAAGCGCGTAAAACTACTTTTCATGAAAACCCACGAAAGGTGTTAGCCCTGGAATCACAAAAAATACCACAACGAAGCTAAAAAAGCAAGCCGCAACGAAGGAAAAAAAATTATAAAAAATACATAAAGGAACACCCAAAGAGAGCCCTTGCAAGTACAAATAAATTCCCCTCCTGTATATACATATAAGCAAACAACAAAAGAGAACCTTTGCAAGCACGCGAAGAACCCACAACGAAGGGATCCTTTGCAAACATACGACGTAAATCCACAAAGGAGCTAGACCAGAGGAGCAAACTTAGAGGGGAGGAAAAAAAATCACAAAGGGGGAACGGAGGGTGGGAATCGCGTATAAATTCTCTCCCGTGTTGGAAGGGTGGTTAGTGATGCGGGTGGATGGAGGACGTGCCAGTCACGCACGCACAAACACGCTAATCGCCACTCGATCGCAAAGGGAATGCTACCAGGAACACAGCACAAAAAAAATAAAAAAAAACAAAAACAAAAAAAGTGGCACTCGAACGATTTCGCTACCTACACGAGGGCATTTCTGACTAATTTCGGAACGGCCCAAAACTAAGCACGTGGGGTGTCGGAACGTCAGAAATGTCACACTCGTCGCCCCCGTCAAACGAGCCGAATTAGCACAAAGAGCGATCGACAAGAGAACCGTTCAGAAAGTAGGTCGGTCGGAATTGATGCTCGAATATGGGAATACAAACAAGCTCCAAACTTATGTAACATAGTTTATCTTTCATTCTGGCAAAGCGAAGATAAATGGGGGCATGCAACAAAAATCGACTTAAACGTTGAAAAATTATCCATTCTAATTCGAGAAATCCAGGTAGATAACCTCGATAGAGCATTAAGAGTTTAAAGGTCACCGTTTCGTTTTTACCTTTTTTCTCTCACCTCCCCTTCTGTTTCGCATTTTAACAATCGCCCGAATTACCATTAAGTGTTGCCAGTCGGCGATCCCCCAAACACATCGAGTGCAATTTATTTCCACGTGGCCCGAGTTCTTTGTTTGCAAGCCCTCGACGGTGGCATACATGCCTCAAGAGTAGAAAGGGGGAGCGAAACATTCCTCCCCTTTCGAGGCACTCGGCGTGGGTTGTTATGGAAAGAAACAAGAGTTCCTTCTCTCTTAACAAGGCTTTGTCGGTGGGGAATATAATAATAATAATAATAAAACTGTACGAAACTCACCTATTTTTCAACAACAGAACTATCTTGTCCTTTGGTACTTTTAACCTTCCGGCGATTAACTTCTTGAGGTTCTCGACACTTATGTCCTGGCTCACATGCAAATCGATTTGTCCTCCTGTAGTGGGTAGAACATACACCACAATCTGTTTGCAACTCGTCTGAACAGTACATTCTAACACAGGACTTTTATTGTCTATTGTTGTAGTCGAAGTATTGCTTGCCATGCTTTGTGTTGTTTGCAAAATGCCTAGTCCTTGGCGCAGAAAGCAACAGTCCTGCGTATTGCGCCCTGACGACGAATTAATCGGGAAGAGAAGAAAGGAAGGGAAGAGAAAAAAAGACGCGCAACACAGACCACAAAGAACACGACCGTCCGACACCTCAACACAGTCTCACTTCTCGTTCATCTAACATTTCACAATGAAAGATCGACCGACCAATCGGGTGTTAGCTACCATTCGGANTATAAAACAGAAAGAAAAAACAAAAATAAAAGAAAACAAAGTTCGGATGTTTTTTTAAAAAAATCTTTGCAGAAAATTATTAAAATGTTTAACTTCAGTCGAAAAATTTTTCTTCTGGGATTAAGTCGACGATTTTGTTAGTACAGACGAGCAAAAAGCAGGAAATTTTATCGAAGTTAAATAATATTAAAATGAACAATAAAAGAGAAAATTGCTTTTAAAAACAAATGCAGATCGATTCTCATCCAGGAATTACAAACGATCTGTTTAATTAACTAACTAAAATGTAATTAAAATTTTATATTTTCTCCAGTTCTATCGTATCATCCGGATGCTCTCTAATATATATATTTAAGTCCATTCGATTATAATTAACTTTCATTACATTTTTTCGTGTGAATTTCCTGAAAAACAACTTATTTATTTACTTATTTTGTAATGAAGAAAGGAAGGGAAGAGAAAAAAAGACGCGCAACACAGACCACAAAGAACACGACCGTCCGACACCTCAACACAGTCTCACTTCTCGTTCATCTAACATTTCACAATGAAAGATCGACCGACCAATCGGGTGTTAGCTACCATTCGGAAGAGTCCACGACGTCGGAAGAGGGTGATGGCGCGTCGAACGAAGAGCGTGACTTACGTAGATAAGTTAGAAGTTTAACGATTCCTGTGTTACGACGTCGACCTTCCGCCGCTAAGAACTGTAAAGAAAGCGTCCGAAGCCGGTCCGGTGTGGTTTATACTACCTTAGATGGATAACGGTGCAATTTAATCACGTGTCTTGTGTAATACGTCACGCCGACTCTGACGTCAGACCGTGGCGTCAGAGTGTGGCAAGCGCGTCTGCCCTGGAATCCGTCCACGTTTCCAAATTGGCGGAGCGGCGTTGTAATCGCTGGCTAGGGGAGGCGAGTTAGTGACGTAATCGAGTCGATGTCTATCAGTAAAAGTAAAGATAACGAAGACGGGGGGATCGATTTCCTAACACAGAATCGAAAACGTTGCAAAGTAGAACATTCATCCGAATGGCGCGTGACGTTTTATTTTTTAAATTTATTCTCGTTTTTTAAACAGGATCGTCGAACGGAACGAGCCAGGTGTTTCGCCAGTTGTAGTGTGTGTGTGTGTATGTATGTGTTGCTCGCTTTATGACTCATGCGGTGACGTCACGCCACGTGATCTCTGCATCGCTTTATGCATTGTTTAACGAGCTGCCGTCACGTCACGTTTTCTTCTTTTTTTTTATTATTATCGTTTTTATATTCCGTCCGTTACTAACAGTTTCGCAATTAAAAAAAACAACCTCTACGGGGATAAATCAACATAGAAATGGTTTTGTTTGTTCGCCGTGCTGCCAGCTTCTTGCACGGTCCCGCGTTGCTATGGTTACAGTGACGGGGTGAATTAAAATCTCGATTAAAACCCCTGCAGACACCAAACCAGGGTCGTTGGCCCTCTGCTGTGTGCCATCGGAGACTCGTTCACTTAGCCGCCAGGCTCTTTCTTGCACATATCCTGTGATGATGTAAAAATCCTGCTGCTGCTGCTGCGCCAGTTTGTAAAAATAAAATAAAAATAAAAAGAATAAATCTTTCGCAAAATATATTCTAATTTGCTCCAGCTCTTAATCTGTAATTAACAATTTAAAATTGGTTAAAAGCTCCGAACGCACCAATCGGATTGTGTGTTTTTTTTTTAAATTTGCATACCATTGGTCAATTTTTTCGCTTTTTTGGCAAGTGTTTTTTCTTTCTCCGGTGTCTGAAATGGCTCCTGCTCGACAAGCCCTGAAGGTAAAATGACATTCTCATGTTTGCTAGTCCGATGACATGAGACTAGTTCTAGTATGAGAACTCGAGTCTCCTTTGTGTTTCTATCCTTTCCGCCATCTTAACTATGTTTCTGGTTTCTAAACGTGAACAAAAGTGTTCACAGTAAACACTTGCAACGATAGATAATTGTTTAATTAATTTGCCTTTCTTTATTCCTTTCCTTTTACATTTTATTTTTTAGTAGAAAGGATCATCTCTGCTATGGGGTGTAGGATGCACAATAAACGTCCTGTACGTCTCGTATTCAGGCCTTTTATACAAGATAAGAGCCAAAGACATACGAATTCTTTACAAAACAGTTATGGCACACCCCAATTTTATGGATTTAATGTTATTTACAGAACCAATGTCAAGTCTGTGTTACATAATGGGTCTACTAACGCAGCTAATTATGGGTTTTCATGGTATTTCCTACTTTTAATTCTATATTTATCGAGTTTGTAGGTTATGTAAGCCCTTTGCCTACTTTCTTAGCTTTCTGTAGGCGTAACTTTAACAGCTGTATAGGGCTCTAGTATGGGTTATCTAAATTTACTGACTAGAATTACGATTATTAAACCTGTACATATTCCATACGTAAAGATTTTATATGACCTTATATTATGGGATTTAATGTGCAAGTATTTTATATCCAAGCTTTACGGATCTCTGTCAGTTCGTGAATATTAAATTAAATTTCTGAGATGCAGAACCGAGCGGATGAATGATAAAAGCGGATAGGATCCGGTTTCTGTTTAGTAGTCTTTTTTTATTTTATTTAAAAAGTTCTTTGTCTACAATGCAGACAATCGCTAGACGAGAAACTTGATACCCACTTTTACGTGAAAGGCCATATAAATGTATGAGATTCGAATTAATTTCGGGCTTCTTAACATAAAAACAAGCGCAAGGGATGCAATTTTATGTAAATTTTATCGATAATAAATTAAAAATGGGCATAAATTATAAAAATTACAATACAATCTCAATACAGAATCAGTTTAATCCATAAATTATGAAAAAAATAGGGCACATAGAGCCCATAAATGTAGATTTCCCACGATATGCTTACGTAGTCTACGAGCCTTAAGCTAATGGAATTTATGCGATTATGGGCATTCTGACTGTAGAAATTATTTATAAAATGTACTTTTACTAAATATACGAATTTAATTTTGACCCCGTAAAGCCATAATAGGCCTATAACTTATACGTATATTTATAGACGTTATTTAACAGAGAGAGAGGAAAAAAAACCCTAAAGTAACATGGGAGAATTAATCGAGAAAAATCGATGGTTATGCCATTTTTATACAGGAGACAAAGACACGGAAATGCAATTAAAAGGTATTAAAACGATTCCTAGCGTAGGTGTTAAAAAATGGGATCAAAGACATTGTGGCACCATCGAAAATCGAAAATAATACTAAGAGAAATCTGTAGAAATATTGGATTAAAACTTAATTGTACATGTCAGAAAACTCGCTAAAATCGTTCTCTGGTGATTTATGAGTAAGTTTATTCTATGAGCAAAGGTATTTTCTGTATAAGAAGTGTTCTATGGAGCATGAGAGGAATTTATAAAGACAATAATTCATAAATTAATAATAAAACTTCACAAAAATTTGAAATTATGAGTGCCATAAAAAATATGAGACATTAATGAAATTGTTGATAGGTTAACATAGAAAATGTGCCACATAAAAAAAAATGTGAATATAATGGACATTGCTCACGATGTCCTTACTTCTTTGGATATAGGAGGAGGCCAATAGTTTTATGGGCATTGCTCGTGAAGCCATTATTTCTTTGAATAGACACGAGACCATAGAGGTACGAGCCTCTGGAGGAAAGTTATAAGGAGTTAGAGATAAATAATGGTAAATGAATGGTCCATTTCGAGATTAGAAAGATTAAAATTCGGTTTATTTATGATTAATTCGTGAAGAGTCGGAAATTCAGAGACGATAGGAAGAGTTGCTGATAATATTCCTACATAATAGCATCGTACGATGAGAAAATGCAAACAGGATGTCGTGATAAATGAACTTTAAATGTAAAATAGATATAAAATTGATGACCATGACACTAAAGAATAGATAATTAGCATTAAATTTAAACGCTATTAACTAAGTTTTCATAAATGTTAAATTTAATTTTATGGAAAAAAAGTCATAATCATTTATTTATCAGAAAGTATGTAAGATAACATTTTTTTTCGGGAAATAGTAAAGAAAGGATGCTATCAGAACAAAGGCACTTGATATAATTGTTACATTTGTGATTATATTTATTAACAACCAAACTATTCCAAAAAAATAATGTAGTTTTTCTATTAAAAACAAGACAATAACAAATACAAGAACAGAAATTATCTGTTACTTCTTTGGAATGTTTCTGTTGTATGCCTGTTGTATGCCTCTACATGTTTCCTATGTAATATGCATGCTTCCTATGCAGCTGTCATGTGATATTCCTCTGTACTATGCCTCCTGTCATCTATGACTTTCATATTGCATGCTTTTCATGTATATGTTTGTATATGCTTTAATGGCATGCTACATGAAAAGTGTTATAGAAGTATACTAAGTTTTATGTAATTGGAGTGTAGGCATTGGAGTGTGTATCTCAATTGGTATCTTTTATATAAACTTATATTTTATGTAAAACTATGCATTGAATTCTATAAAATACATCATATACGAGGCATACTATACACATACAAGTTACAACGGAAAATTTGAATGTCTACTGAAATAATACGTTATAAACTATAATTATTTATGATTAAGGATGTCAAACGATAACATAAATCTCCATTAGCGATAAACATTTCTCATATACAACGTTACACGCCATAGAAAATTTGAATTCGTACGAAAAAATATAAACATCCGTTCTAAAAATTACATTAATCTTTTAAACAAAAATGTATTATTATCGTGAAAAGTCCAACGACTACGTCGAAAACTTCTCAACCGGTAGTTCGCGACTCCTAAACCGTATTGACGTATAATGGGCAATATTAATAGATTGAGAGATGAGTGAAAAACGATAAAGAAAATTCATTATCGTATTTTAAGACGTAAAAACGTGGAAAAATAGAATAATTTAACAAACCGTCATCGATTATTTTATAGAAAATTAAGTAAAAAAATCGTAAAATA